CGTCTATCATGAGGGTTGAATGACAATACTAGGGAGAGAGAGGGGAGGAGAGAGAGAAGACTGGGCCTGCGCAATCTCATCGAACTAGCAATTAAGACAACCCCAGCTGATAAACCTGTCTGCAAAATCGGGATCCACTTACTGCTAATATCTATTGCAATAATAACACTATAGCCAATGTAAAATCGGTTGATTGTGCAGATTGGCAGATTACACGCAACACGTGTTCGCTCTTTTTGGAACCGAAATGGCCGAACTCACAGGATTGTAGGTAATATTGCTATTTTTATGCAAATCGCGGAACCCTCTATAGCAAAGCCTAGCTATCATAGATTTTAGATCTGTATTAGTAGTATCCTAGATATATATGCTGTGAGCGCGAACGCGGTGGCTGGAGGGCACACTTGATTCGGTTGCCAGTGAGTTTATCAGAAGAATACCCGGCTACAGTACACGTCAGTTGAGCGCTGTCGCTCTGCGGCACTTGTTTAGCATTATATTTTATTGAAACGCTCCAAGTGCCTGTGAGTGCAGTGGCAGTGATCATGATGATGCGCTAGCTCTCCCAGCGTAGCCTCTTCCCACTGCAGCGGCTAACCTTGGTCGTTACGGCCGATAGTGTGTTTTGACCATGAATACAACAACAGCCTTTTAGCAGCACTGGCGAGTCACTGCGATAAACTTGAACATTAACTATTTACACGATAAAAGCAACTGGGGTCCACAAAGACTTGAGGGTCATGAGCCATTTTCAATGTTCACAATGCAGCATGGCAGTTTATGATTTATTTTTGTGATTGCCGTATTTCAACACTCATAAGACCTAACCTTGCGTTAGCCATTTAAAACATCTTATTTCATACCATTTCTTTTTACATTAAATAATAAAAAAATTTGCATTCTAGTTGAATTACGTTCTACTTTCAAACGTTTGTGTGTGCAAAGCTGACTAGACTATTATAGGAATATTAAAGTGTATGCACACAGAATGAACCATGCTGTATGAAATACAAATTTACCAAAAAAGTATTTGCCAGCTGGAGCGCTATAGAGAAAATTTTATAAAAAATGAGAGTCAGCTAAATTTTTAGGCACAAGGTGCTGAAATTTGAAATTTGTTTTCTCAGGAAATTTAACACTAAGATGGTGCTCTATCATGTAATTTTACGTATTATAAAGATTACGAGTAAATCTTTTGACAAGAGAACATATAGTGTCTCCACTGATTATAGAATGTATAAGTATAAAAGCAGATTGTTAATAAAACAAACAAACAAGTTTTTTTTTAACCCAATAACCAGCAATTGCACATCCCACACTATCATTAACATTTTTATGTAAATTATTATTATGATCGGTTGGACATTAACGATGCCAGTTTTAGTTAAACCTATTAATCTTGTCAAGAGAGATAAATGAAATGTTTCAAAGGTGGATGAAGTTAAAAAAATGAGCAAACTCATGTAAATTTTATTAATCTAGATTTAATGTTTTTGGTTGATGACATATATATGGTATATTTATTCAGGTACGAACAGACTGCATCATATCTGTGTATAGTCATAGTAAAGCTCATAGGGTATATGTCTTCCTGGGGACGGAACGTACCCTGGGTACGGTCCGGTATACCTCAACGTACCCTGGTAACTATCTGATATGGTTAGGGTTAGGGAGTAGGCGTAGGTGACTCCCTAGACTCGTTAGTGGAGTAGGCGAGGTACGGTCCGGCATATTAGATAGTACCAGGGTACATCCGGCAGTACCCTGGGGGACATAGACCCTCTCAGCCATAGTAAACTTTCTTTATAGTAAGCTGGGATATGTTCTGGTGCCAGGAGTGTCTCATACACCGTAGCAAGGATGTAAATTAACTTGTCAGAAATTGCAAATCCCACTCAGTGTATATAAGTTTATCGCTAAATGTGGTAAATCCCTACTATTACACGAAATATGCGCACGGAGAGAACAAACATTTGCTAAATTTCTTTAAATTCTTTCTGATGGCGGGGGTTATTAACTCTAGGCAATTTGAATTGATCGATGTGCCCACCAATATTGCTCGCTATTTTAAGCTGCGTATAAAGAACAACTAATTGTTTGCAAGCAACGGTAAAATATTAATAATTGCAGAAATTTAACAATAAAAAGTGCAAAACACGTACCCGCTAGTCTAATTTACGATAGTATGCAGATTGCTGTTAATTAGTAATTGTTTCTCGTAATTAAATTTCTCCTTCTCAGAATTACGCATGGAAATGACCCAGCAATCTTTCGAAGATATCCATTATTAAAACTATGCCAGATTTTTGGCGTTGGGTAAATCTTTTTAGAGACTGATTTTTGTGAAAATGCAGACCAAGAATTCACTCGGTTGGATTGTAATTACGTTACTGTTTACTTCATCGATCGAACACGCCCTATCGAATTAGTTTAAAGAGAAAACTGGCATCCTATTTTGACAAACTATATTGTAACTAATTACCAGCGTCGTAAGAATAAAGTAAAGTAGCATATAATTGTTAATCAAGTTATTATACAGCATTCTTTGCATATTACCCCGGAATTTTCCTTGATGTCTTACATATATTCTATATGTGATTCCTTATCGTTTCCAATCCTAACCAGAGTATTACACTGTACCATGGTTAGCTAACAACATCAAATTCGTAGAAAATAGAGATTTTTAGTAAACAACACTTTCTTCTGACGATATTTAACATTGTTCACCTTGCTAATTTCTGTGTTACAATTATACCAGACATCGACATTCAAACAACACAGTATGCTTTTTTATTGAAAAAATTAATGTTCGCACATAATTAAAATACTTGTGCTTGCTGATAGTTTGCCGTACAAACATCCTACACATCAGCAAAAAACATATACACTAATTCTTTAGCATATATACTCTCGTATCCAGCCTACCCGGCGTATCCTACATCAACATGCTCTAACTTAATCAATGTGTGAGCTAGTGTAATAGTTGATGGCTTCCTGTAAGTACTTTCAATGTGTATTCAATTGGACACTGTGATGATCTTAGGACCTCCAACTTTTTGTGACATAATAGCAATTTGAAAGTTCTATGAAATAGTTGCAAACAGGTGCAAATATATGGAAATAGTTGCAGCTAGGATGCTTTCCAGGATATGGTAATTTGTGAAGCCGTATTTTTCACCAGATATTTCGCGTCACGTACGCTATTGTGTACGATCTTCAAGTAGATATATTATATGCTGTGAGGAATTATACACACAGGCGCGCACGAACGCACATACACACACTTTATATATATATATATATTAACTTTATATATTTCTTCAATGAACTGAATTATCTATGCAGAATTCGTTTGTTATACGCATAATAAGCCGAATTAGAAGTTCTAAACAAAAAAAGTAGAAGAGATAGACCTACTAGTTAGTAAATCGATTGGAGAAGTTATCTGTGCATACCTGAGTAATGAAACTCCTACTGCTTTTCGTGAAGCAGCCGCATGATTTCCATGCAGGAATGGGAAAGATATGGCGCTTAATTATGGCGTACATGAATTTATAGAAGATGGTCAGAAAAGAACAAACGCAGTGGTAGCTCAAACGAACTGCCGCAACCACATCTCATTTGAGGAAATGGAAATCTAATAATATAACATCATGTATTACATTATAAAATGGCAAAATACCAGCTAGACGTATTATGTGTATGGTACACAGACCATGCGCGGATCCAATGGGGTGCAGTCGGCCACACACACACACACGCGCGCACGCTCGCACGCACACACACACACACACACACACACACACACACACACACACACACATGCGGTCGTCGGTGACGCGGCCGCCGTAGTGAACCTCGCTGATCATGTAGCGCAGCGTCGTCCACGACACGCCCTACGCGTGAGACATTGAGGCAGCGCGTGAGACATTGAGGCAGCGTGTGAGACATTGAGGCAGCGTGTGAGACATTGAGGCAGCGTGTGAGACACTGAGGCAGCGCATGAGACATTGAGGCAGCACGTAAGACATTGAGGCAGTACGTGAGACATTGAGACAGCAGTGAGACAGTGAGGCAGCGTGTGAGACACTGAGGCAGCGTGTGAGACACTGAGGCAGCGTGTGAGACACTGAGGCAGCGTGTGAGACACTGAGGCAGCACGTAAAACATTGAGGCAGCATGTGAGACATTGAGGCAGCGTGTGAGACATTGAGGCAGCGCGTGAGACATTGAGGCAGCGCGTGAGACATTGAGGCAGTGTGTGAGACATTGAGGCAGCGTGTGAGACATTGAGACAGCGCGTGAGACATTGAGGCAGCGCGTGAGACATTGAGGCAGTACGAGACATTGAGACAGCATGTGAGACACTGAGACAGCGTGTGAGACATTGAGGTAGCGCATGAGACATTGAGGCAGCGCGTGAGACATTGAGGCAGCGCGTGAGACATTGAGGCAGCACGTGAGACATTGAGACAGCACGTGAGACATTGAGGCAGCACGTGAGACATTGAGGCAGCTGGATATGTTCTGGTGCCAGGAGTGTCTCATACACCGTAGCAAGGATGTAAATTAACTTGTCAGAAATTGCAAATCCCACTCAGTGTATATAACTTTTCAAGTGTTTAAAGATATATGTATACGTACTAATTTTGCTAATTAACTTATTGACGAGGTCACTTGATTGTTTTCTAGGTGCATTCAGTAGGCAGGTAATTAGCAGAAGTCTTCACACAAGCCCTGCACAATTAGCAGGAAGCAAATGGAGACAGGCGTAAGTAGTAATAGTTAACCTGTGACATCTCAGAGTTGTAACTGAAGCTCATAGGGTATATGTCTCCCAGGGTACTGCCGGAACGTACCCTGGGTACGGTCCGGTATACCAGAACATACCCTGGTAACTATCTGATATGGTTAGGGTTAGGGTTAGGGAGTAGGCATAGGCGACTCCCTAGACTCGTTAGTGGAGTAGGCGAGGTACGGTCCGGCATATTAGATAGTACCAGTGTACGTTCCGGCAGTACTCAGGGAGACATAGACCCTGGCAGCGTAACTGAAGCTTGTGTACATGATACATGATACTGGCCAGTTGGGAAAGTATGGTGTTAAATTGGCAGGCTCATGGGAGTTGTAGTTGTAAAGTCAAGATTGCCATCTATAGACAATTTTAACACAAGAATAATAAGGTTCTAAGGTAAGAATATAAGGGTCTAATATTCATTTTTCTAAAATTTCACCCTGCAAAATGGTTCAGCATAATGTTCATCACAGACTGGCCCATTATCCAAAAGATCCTTGAAAAACTGTTTGCGTTTTTCCTCGACATGAAATGTATTTTAAAGGGGCTCATAGGTACATATAGGTCTATGAGGCTCGGGTAAAGTTTGATAAAATCCATTTAATAATAATATGTACTGACTTCTACACATTGCAGACATGGTCTTCCAGATGCATTTGATTCAGACTATGGTCCGTTTGTTGACAAGCCTGATTGGTCCTATGCGGGTGAGTAACAGAGGGCCAACTCTAGCCCTTCTATGCTTTCTTGGGCTACTAAAATTAAAATATGAAGTATAAACTGAATAAAATATCTTCTTCTTCCTATACTGAACAGAGTACTTACGGGACATAATTGCCCACTGTAAGATGCAAATAAATATACGCATGTGACGGGAGTGTGTTATGCAGGTAAAAACGGGATTTTTGACAAATTTGTGTGGTCTTTTGAGGTCAAGGCTAATACCAGATTGAGAAGCTTTGATTTGACTAAACAAGGCTAGCTGCAATAGTGTCATACAGCCTTATTATAGATGTGAAGGAGTCCTTGTGAATGAATTAACAGGAATATTGGTTCTGTTAATGGTGATGAAGTTCATAATAACTATATATATGCATATTACAATGCATTCAGATGTTCAGATATAGAGATAAGAGAGTCGTGGTGATTAAGTGCTGTAGTTATATGGAACTCATATAGAATTATGCTATCATTACTCTGTAGTACGGTAACTTACGAAAAAGTTGTTTTGTACAGATGGCAGACCTGCTCCTCCAACTAGTGGGATGAAACAAAGGAAGGAAGAACGAAAAGTACTTGCAGTAAGTATTGAGTTTTCCGTGATATATTATCCACACACACACACTCACTCTTTATACTTATCCAGACTGAATATGGACATCTGATATATGTGAGTGACCGGTGATTACTTATATCATCATTTTTCACATTTTGTCTCGATTTCCTCGTGCGTTTATTGAGAAAACTTTGTTTAAAACCAACTCAATGATAATCAGCAAACTGTTGCAAACACAGAGTGTCACCAGTGTTATTACCAAGTTTTTGTACACAAGATATTAATGGTATATACGGTAGTTCACATTTAAATGAGCGCATATTTTAGTAATTGAACACTCAAGCAAGGTGGTTAATAATATTACTAAAAGTTTTAAATAAGGTTGAGGCATGCCAGTAATGTTGAAAGGGTCGTTGTCGTATAGGGTACTACATATATGTACCCGAGGTAACTATCTGATATGGTTAGGGTTAGGGAGTAGGCGTAGGCGACTCCCTAGACTAGCATTATATTACATTTATGTATACATATATATACTACCCTATACGACAATGACCCCTTCAGCGCCAGTAATGCTGCAGCATTAGGTGTAGGTTCCACAGCTCCAGTAAGAAAGTTAACTGTTTTAGAAGTTGCTCAGAGCCCACGAATAGGTCTACACGCATTCATGTACAGTTATTATTTTTGCCACTATTAAAGATTTTTAATTAACATTAGTTTATCACATGTGACTACCTAATATTCCCTTACTTGTTACCTTGCAGACACAAGCACTGCAACACTTGAGAGCAATGGAACGAGGGAAAGAAGGTTACAGAAATATAGTTGAAGCTGATAATAGGCGAAAACAGGGCACCATTGGAGCGAAATTAGGAGAAAAGGGAGAAAATTATGGTAAAGCATTAAAATCCAAGGCTAGAAAAGGTTGAATATCCCTATGAGGAAGAGATTATAGTAAGGACAAACCCATGTTAATGTAGAAAGAAACGTGTCTAGATGTGAAAGCGTATTGAATTAGTGAAGCAAAACCATCAATAATTCCAAACAGAGCCTCAATCTGGCATAATGTTTGTAGAAATTTATCCTCAATAGAATAGAAAAATATCAATTAAACAATTTCTTTCATACAAAATGACACATCTTGTAAAATGTAAATAAATGTGTTTTATTGACAAAGTGCTATAATAAAGAGTATGTGTAAGTTTACTGTTGCCGTTTGTATATTTTGTATGGCTATAATGGACTGCATCGAACAAGTATGCAGTTGTACAAGTGTAACAACTATATATAGATTAAAATAACAAAAATATAGATACAATTACTATTACAATGGAAAGACTATATGAAAGATACACAATGATTAAGATACAAAACATTATTACTTGAATATGAATGTATAAAAGGTATAAAAATAAGTTCACATGTGATATAAAAGTACAGATGAGTTCTATAATACTACGATATGAGTTTCCCTTAATATGAATGTATGTATAACAGTAACATGATTTTGGTAAAATAATATGTATAAATAATCATATTTTCATTAGTACATGAGTTATTGTAATAAGTCTATCTTCATCCACATTCAATATGATGTTGTGCCTATAGTAGCTAGGTGGTCTGAAGGCTGAATGCTCCTCATCCTTAATTTTGTAATGTCACATAACAGGATAATGAGGATTCTGACTTCCTCATCCTCTAATTTTGTGACGTCACATAACAGGAAGGTGATGATGCTGACTCCTCATCTGCTAATTATAATTTTGTGATGTCATAACAGGACGGCGAGAACCCCGACTGTTCCTCATCCCCTAATTTTGTGACGTCACATAACAGGACGGCGAGAACCCACGACTGTTCCTCATCCCCTAATTTTGTGACGTCACATAACAGGACGGCGAGAACCCCGACTGTTCCTCATCTCCTAATTTTGTGACGTCACACAACAGGACGGCGAGAACCCACGACCGTTCCTCATCCCCTAATTTTGTGACATCACACAACAGGATGGCGAGAACCCACGACCGTTCCTCATCCCCTAATTTTGTGACGTCACATAACAGGACTGCCCCTCGTCGCTATTTACGTGATGTCACACAGAAGCGCGGTTCCTCTCAGCACCCAGTGGTCCGGAGGCTGAGTCGTCCTCAGCTTCACGCTCGCCACGTACGTTGCATCCGTGCGCGTCGGCTTCTTGTAGATGGGGCATTCGTAGAACCTCGTCATCGTCGCCGCCGCCGCGCCGCCGCTCGCCGCCGCGTACAGATGCATGACGGGCAGCGGCTCGTAGAGCACCTTCGGCCGCGACTCGGCGAGCTTGCAGCCGCGCCGATCCCACCCGGCGCCCTCTAGGAACAGGCCGTGCACGTAGACGCCTTCCTCCGGCGCGGCGGCGACGTCTTCGAGCGCGTGACGCGTGACGGTGCTCTGTAGCGCGACCGTGTCCAAAGACCAGCCCTTGTGCGCTCGCGTCACCTCCTGCGCACGGCGAGACGAGGAAGTGAAAGCGAGAGGTTAGCTGCAAGAACTCCCGCACGTACAAATATGTGTAACTACTGTTACTACTACTACTACTACGTCGGTGTCATCGTCGAGCATACTACAGAGGATGGTGTTGACATCTGTGAGCGCTGATATTGAAGCTGCATACTTGACCGGAATAGTCACGACTACCTTCATCCTTTTTTCTGGGTAATGGCAAGAAGCCAATTCAAGTGAATATAGAACTAATTCAAGTAGAACATAGTTTTGCAGCAAGTGCATCACTATGTCAAGAAGGCTATCACGCATCAGAGGAGAAAAATAATATTCGATGCCCTACTACCCGAGAGGATAACGTGGGGGCAGGGTCATCTCGTATGTGAATCAGTGCTAGTGCATCTACCTGCTAGACGTGATGCTAACGAACCTGCTCAATGAGCCATCACTATCACGAAACATACCATGTACACGTACCACACATACCATACATGTACCACGTCCATCACTCACGCGTAATCAATGCTACACCCGTCCGTAGCTTTACTAACCGCGCAACCTCATGAAGATTAGTCTTCAAAGTTCAAGGGACTACTATATTGAAGACGGAGAGAGACAAAGTTGATCAAATCGACCAGAGACTCGAGTGTATCCGGTGCACACTGTGCATCTGCAACTTACACAGGCGTGGATAATACCCTACTTTATACACCTGTTGATACTCCTGTTGACACAGCTGCACACCTCTGATCAGCTACGTACCTGTCTCATCGCAGTGAGGAAGCCCTGGGGGTTGAAGAAGCCAGTCATCCAGAAGCAGGAGGGTCTGCCGACATAGCACCAGCTTCTGAACTGCGCATCTCTCTCCAGTAGCTCGGTGAACCAGAAGCCCAGAGTGCTCGACTGCCATGACACCTGCCACACGCAAAGCGATGATGTCATGACTTATACTCAGCAAGGATCGATGACGTCTTCACTTCTACTCAGCAAGGATCGATGACGTCATCACTTCTACTCAGCAAGGATCGACGACGTCATCACTTCTACTCAGCAAGGCTTGATGACGTCATCATCTATCAGGCACTGTATGTCATCATTCTATGCGCAAGGATCAGACGCCACACAGGGTATACGGAAGAGCCCGCTGCTCTACCGGGTGTAATGGCTAGAAGCGGGCCCGGCGGGTGAGAGGAGCTATTCTTCTCTGTGGTTGGAATAATTACAAAGATTACTCGTAAACACAGACGATCTGGTCAGATGAGATTCTGATCGGCGCATTTTGAATAAAAAGCTTACGACTGACTCGTCATGCTCACTACATGGTGAAGAAGCCCTGTGAAGCAGGGCTACATTGTTCAGGGCAGAAGCAAGTGTGTTGTCGCGGTTAATAAACAGATTTAAGGACGCATGCCGGAGAGGGACCAAGGTAAATAAACGAGGTTGTAGGCACATCAAGATTCCTTCTCAACAATGCCGTTTATGTTGGAGCAGGGACGGATACGTTACGCAACGTTGGGGACGGAGGATACATGAAACCAGTATGTGGACAACAGTGTCACAGCAACAGCGTCATAGCAACAGCACAGCAACAGCATAGCAACAGTGTCACAGCAACAGCGTCATAGCAACAGCACAGTAACAGCACAGCAACAGTGTCACAGCAACAGCGCCGACTCACCTTGGCCCATCCGTGCGGAACGATGGAGTCGTAGAGGCAGGTGAGGGTGTCGGCGAGGGCGTCGGTCATCACGATGCTGCCATCGATGGCGAGGCGAAGGTCGGCGAGGGTCGCGCGCACCACGGCCAGCACGTGCTGCATGCGCTCTATCTCCTGCCGCAGGAAGACGTTCAGGGACGACAGTGCCCCCTGGCTGCGAATCCTCGCCTTCACCTGCGAGCGAGCGAGACAGCATGCGGATCGGCCGCCTGTTACCGTCGGCCATGTCTCGTGTTGTGCACGAATAGCGCGAAAACTTTCTTCGTTTGGAAGAAACGTTACGCGCTTATTTAATGACTCTAAAGTTATAGTGCCCGAGAGACCTCGAAAACGGGTTTTATCCTGAAAAGTTAACACATGAAAGTAGATTATCAGATGTTTGGAGAGGGACATGTGGAGATGGCAGATGAGGGTATAGAGCAGCTTGCTTTTATTTCAGTGTCATTCACCCTCGAGTCTTTATCACAGTTTCATTCACTCGCGACTAAACTTCCTTGTTTTTAGTAAGTTTCATTCACCCTAAAATAATTTCATTCACTCTTAGGTGAACCATTCACCAGTTTAAGAAGCACTGGTATAGAGTGTAGAGATAGAGGATATATAGGGCAGGGTATAGAGAGTACCTCATGCGAGACGTAATCTGGAGGCAGCTTGTCGAACATGTCCTGAGCGATTCTGTAGACGACCGACTCCCGCGTCTCGCCGCTGCTGTCGCTCACATCTTTCGGCTGAATGCTCAGTATTGTGTCCAGTGTTTGCTTCGCCACACTGCTCTGATACCTGGTAAAGAAACGGGTTGTTTGTCTGTGTTATGCGCGAGGTACCTAAGTGACGAACGCTGCCAATCTCCCCGTCTCCATGTGCTCAAGATGCACCATTACGTTCCACTCCACCCTGACTACAATACAGCTGACATACATACTACGTGAATTCTGTGTTTAGCGTTTAGCTCGAGTACGTACGTGACGTCTTAGCGTTGGCATGAGTCCGAACACCTCGGAGAAATCGCTGATACCGGGCAGACGAGCGATTAGTCCTGCATACTGCGCCACGGTGGCGAGGCGCGGGACGCCGTACGTCGGCCGTGGAAACGGAACTCCGGGGCGAGAACAGAATGGCGTCGGCGGAAACCAGGCGGCGGCGAAAGGCGGAGAGCAGACGCTTGTCGGCGGTCGTCGGTGGACCCGCGGCCGCCGTAGTGAACCTCGCTGATCATGGTAGCGCAGCGTCGTCCAGACACACCCATAGCGCGTGAGACATTGAGCAGGCGTTGAGACATTGAGGCGTCACGTGAGACATTGAGGCAGCGTGGTGAGAACATGTGAGGCAGCGCGTGAGAACATTGAACGCAACGCACGTGATGACCTTGAGGCAGCGTGTGAGACATTGAGGCAGCGCGTGAGACAATGAGGCAGCAATGTGAGACATTGAGGCAGTACGTGAGACATTGAGGCAGGCGTGTGAGACATTGAGCATGCGTGAGACGACTTGAGGCAGCTACGTGAGACATTGAGGCCAGCGTGTGAACAGAGCATTGAGGCAAGCGCGTGAGACATTGAAGGCAGCCGCGTGAGACATTCGAGGCAAGCGGCGTGAGACATTGAAGGCATGCGTTGGTGAGACATTGAGGCAGCGCGTGGAGAGAAAAAAAAACAAAAAAAAAGAAACAAAGAAAAAAAAAAAAAAAAAACAATGAGGCAGCCATGTGAGACATGAGCAGTACGTGAGACATTGAGGCAGCGTGTGAAGACATTGAAGGCCAGCGCGTGAGACGAGTGAGGCAGCACGGTGACGACATTGAGGCAGCGCAATGAGACATTGAGGCGCGCGTGAGACATTGAGGGCAGCGTGTTGAAGACATTGAGGCAGCGCGTGAGACATTGAAGCAAGCACGTTGCGACATTGAGGCAGCCGCGTGAAACATTGAGGCAGCGCGATGAGACAATTGACGGCAGTGGTGTGAGACATTGAGGCCAGCGGGGGTGAGACACTTGAGGCACGCCGCGTGGGTTTTTAGACATTGAGGCAGCACGTGAGAAATTGAGCGCAGCGTGTGAGAACATTGAGGCATGAAACGTGAGACCATTGAAGGCAGCACGGTGAGACATTGAGGCAAGGCACTGTGAGACACTTGAGGCAGCGCACGTGAAGGCCATGTTGAGGCAGCGCGTAAGGCCATTGAGGCAGCCAAGCGTGAAGACAGTTGAGGGACGGCACGCTGAGACTTGATGGTAAGTAACGTGAGACGACTGGAGGGGCGACGTCTAACACGATCTCTACATTATAACACACTTCCTGCCGTCTGTCAGCCCCCCCCCCACCTCCCCCGCCGGAGCGTACCTTCTTGGCGTCGACGTCGTCGAGGTGGTCCCTGCACACACTGCACTGTGGCGCCGTAGTCGGCCACGTTGAAACTCGTACGGAACGTTCCAGCCGAGAGCGCCGAAATTTCCGTCGCTCCCTGCAGCGCGCTGTGCAGGAACGCGACGGCGTACAGCAGGGGGCGCCACTGCGGCACGGCGTGCACGTCCAGCTTGTCCTGTGTCAGCCCTGCTGACGAGAAGAAAGAGACATGAGTAGAGCTGCAGGTTACACATGCACGCACGCACACACGCAACGCAATGACACACAACAACCAACACACACACACACACACACAGACACCGCATGCACGTGTTCACTGCTGGCTGCAGATGAGTGAATAGGTGTGCTATGTCAGATGAGCTAAAAAACACATTTTACGTTGACACGTATGACGCGAGAAAGAGACGGCAGTAGAGCTACAGGTTGCAGTTGCCGGTGCTACAGCCGCCATAGACACACAGACACACAAACACACAGATACACAGACACCGCTCGCACGCGTTCACAGCTAGCTGCAGATGACTGACGCAAGTGCACGTCCAAGCATGCATGTGAAAATACGTGTGCTATATACAGGGGCGTAGCCAGGGGCGATTCCAGTCATCCCCCCTGGTTTGTATAAAAATAGCACATATCTGATACAGTATGTATATAAAAGCATGAAACGAAAATTTTAACGAAGTTATATTAGTATATAGTAGGTTTGGAATCCCCCCTCTTGGAAGGAATCCCCCCTCTTGGAAAGGCTGGCTACGCCCCTGATATATACATATTTCACATTTGCAAATACATAGCACATGCTATGAAAGGTGTTTAACAGGTGTTTGCCATTCCTTCTTATAAGCATTCAAATAACGAGTTGACATTAATATTATTACATTACTATTTCTGCTATATCGTTAGAAATATGTGCAGCATAAATGCAATATCGTCTTTGACTACATACCGGCATAGGTGCGTTTCAGACCTGCTTTGACTCCCATGGGCGGCTCGTTTGTGAACTTAATTGACATCTGATTGAAAACACAGAAATTAAAAGCCGACACTGATGATATTATTTACCACCGTTTAAATTTGCACATTGGCAACTACTGAATATTCAAACCTAGCATGGAAAAGGACTCACACCTAGTTTGTTAGGAGTCTGTATACATGGAGTGCTAACCTGCAACAGCCCAATAGGGAATTGAGGATGAACTTCTGTTGTGATCCACAGCCTAAACGTTGGGTCCACCTCACGTGACGCCAGCATAATATCCATGACCTCGTCACAGAAGTTCAACCCAAGGTGGCAGTTCTGTAGCAGCACCCATCCGCCACTCTGCATGGATATAGCCATCAGGCGTCTGGCGTGTACCTCCTGGCCTTGCCCCATGGATACAGCGCGACACTCTACACGTACAACAATCATGTAATTTATCGCCAAACGGTTAATAACTTAAATCCTACACCGTATGTCATGTACATGATCCATCGGTAAAATAGACTGTTGCATATCCTAAAGTACAGAGTATCAAGACGAGTCCATTTGGTGTCCGTCATTTAGTATGCTACGGTCACTTGCGGCTATTGTAGCTAATCAACAGAACTAAGTGGTCTAGAATCGTCCAGTGAGATCACAGTATAGTGCGTGCAGGTTCGTATACTCGCCTAGTTTGTGAGACTTTGCGAGAGCTTCTATGATGCCGCTTGGGTCAGCACCCATGCTCAGCAGACAGAGTAGTGGCGTATGGACAGACGACTCTGCCAACACCTGTTCCAGATCCAGTATAGTGCTATCTATGTACTCCTCGCCCAGCGACTCTAAACAACACACGAATCTCATAACAGTACTATGCATGCCAGATATTATCAACATTATGGACCGGATTCCTTGAAACGACGAAAATTATGTTATCAGCCCTGGTAACAATATATCATAGAAATGTTGAATAACTGAACATGGTGAGAGGTGAAACTGAAAAAGATTGCACAGGAGTTTTTCTTCAGCTTAATCCTTTTCTATGGCAATATTACAAGGGTGCCCTTTGCTAGAAATCAATGCAGAGTTAATCATCTAGATGATCAGAGTATGTTGCGCACCATATTAATTGATATTTCGAGATGCACTATATCAGTATCTTGAGGACGTGATTCCTAGATTGCACCACTCTGAAAAACTTATGGACTTACCCCACCAGTAGGTGGCGCAACATGTCAGGGGAAAAGTGCAAACAGGGATCCACCCTCCTTGTAATTGGTAATAATGTGTTTAGTAATAAGATGATGGAAACTATACGTATTGCGATCTAAAGAATGGCATTGGGCCTCATGCAGTTTCTGTAACGGCCCGCAACCACGCACGAACACATTCACATGTGAACCTGTGATAACATCAACACCTCGCCGCAAAGGCGTTGGCGACAGCACACGCGACAGATGGTCCCATGTTACGTGATAACATACATTTACTATTTCAACCAATAGGTGGGGACAGCACTTAATGTAATAGATGGAGCTGTGGTCATTCTGTTCTGGTATATATACCATGCCACGTGCTCTCTCTCTCTCTCCCTCTCTCTCTCTCTCTCTCTCTCTCTCTCTCTCTCTCTCTCGCTCTCTCTTTCTCTCTCTTGAGTTACAGCCACCTGGCACTAGCTGGTCAAGCTCTGTATTCAGCCTCTATGTACATAACGTAACACCACCTATACGTATACGTAACGCACCGGTGATGTAGTTGCGAGCCTGCGCGACGGTGCGGTCCGGACACCACGCGCGCACCAGCATCAGCCGGTGCAGCGTGTCGAGCGAGTTGTGGTAGCCGTCAGGTATCACGGCCGTCTCAGGGCTGCTGCTGTCGAACCACTGCTTCCACTGACGCTCACTGCTACTCACCTGTAGTCATGGCAACGCAGACGTAATACACGCGATCAGATTTGCTTAGATTACAAGAAAGGATACAGACATGCCGCGTTGTTTTACATGAGTTACGACCTGCAGTAAAGGGTGCAGTTAGCACAGCTATTCTTATACGAGTGCCATTTTTATACAAGTAATTATTATGGAAAACGTGAAATAATGAAAATAGGGAAGCAATGAAGAATGCACAGTTGTTCTTACGTGAGCAAGAATCTGTGAGAAGGGCTTGAGTGAGCTTAGCTGAATCAGGTTTAACCAAGTCATGTCCAAAATCCATTTGAATGGCTTTGGCTCCACTGCCTTTATGTCCAATGCAGCACCACCTAATTGATAAATTCAAGTAGAGAACATTATTGATTATTATGAAAATCGTAACGGTATACCTAATTTACCTTTTCCGTACTTTAGGGCAACTCGGAAGGGAAAACTAGAAATATAAATTTTCTCATTCTTGTTAAGACCATGAGGAATAATGTTTTATCCATAATGTGATAAAAACCTTTGTACCCAAATGGGAAAATCCATTTTGGATAGGATAGGTGGCTACTCTTATTCCTACTGCACCTGTTTTCGTGCAATTATGGGTTTACAACATTACTATTTATTTAAAATTTAAAGTTTTGTTCCACATATAGATACTGAAATCTGCACAGCTGCCCTCTGCAGCGGTGTCAACATTAATGAACATAGTAATGTTTAATTAAATCACTGCCATTAATTATTCGGGTTCTGAAGTATTTATAGCTCGGCAGCTCTTTCTCCCTGGCCAGGCAGCCCTAAATAATTCACCACTATAGTTACTGAGGCACTATATGAATACACGTGATATATTAGGTAATGAGGGTGCCACCGACAGAAAACACGTGACCAGCAACCAGCTCTCTATCTGCATATTCCTGTCTAGCACTCTGTCTGCTTATTCCTGTCTAGCACTCTGTCTGCTTATTCCTGTCTAGCTCTCTATCTGCATATTCCTGTCTAGCACTCTGTCTGCTTATTCCTGGTTGCAGTGCCCACGTTACAGAGGCGTTGGGCGAACAGATACTCTTGCAAGTCACCCAGCAAACCGTGCGATGGCGGCATATATATACGAGTGCTAACTGCAGATTACCTGATTTCACCACCTAGTGCTACAGACCACCGTTGACCGAGACCTCACACGGAATGAAAACAGGGCGAAACACTGAAAGATACACGCGTTGTCTGAGACAGTAAATAGATCACGGCAGAAGATCACGATCAGTGCTGCGCAACAGCTCAGGATTAAACTCGGTAAAAGTAAGTTCATAGCATAGATATGGATGATTGAGGTAGCCATACATCCCGTGTGAAAGAAAGCAACGCAACAAAGACGTTTGCTGAAGAATACACTAATGGCAGAGTGAGAGATCTGATATAAAGAGTAGAAATATATACGACAAACATATTTTAAAGCAACTGCATAGAGCAGCAAGGATACTAGCGACTGCACTGGTTGTCATAATGGAGGTCAGCACGATTGATGCACCAAATCCTGCCACTGATGAGGAGAAACGCAAAACAGAGGATAAGGAAGAAAGCGGCGAAGAGGTGGATAACGAGGAGAAGGATGTACGCATAGGAGAAGCACCTGGAAAGATTGCTTCCATCTTGCAGAAGCTGAAAAAGAAAGCCATAGCGGAAAAATGGGAAGGAGAAGATGATGATGATGGTGGTGACGACGATGATGACGACGATGATAATGATGATGATAAGGAAGCATCCATAGGGAATGTGCCAGGAAAGATGTCTTCGAGATTGAGGCAGCTGAAAAGAGAAGCTGCAACTTCTATCATCAATCAGAAACTTGCTACGAGAGGGAAGGTTGGGTTCATGGAGGTCACACACAGATGGGAACCAGACACCAGTGCAGCAGAACCAAAAACGTGAGCTATACACGACCAATGTCTTTAAATTAGTGATGGATAAGTAACAGTCGTATTATGCTAAGCTAAACGATGCTTGAATTTGGTATTTGTTGCAGGTGATGCGCTTGAATGTCAGTTCTATTATCCCAACCAAATCTCAAGGCGAAAAACTAACTATCCAAGTTACCAACTAATACCCTACGGCTACCCTGACTCTCACAATCATCTTGAAAATGTAGCAGTGCTATGTATCTATAAATGTTACCCATGTTCTTCATATCTCTCTAGTTATAGTTTATTAGTTTCTACATCTGATTGCTATACTAGCTCTTTATCAAACTAAATTAAAGGTGTAATGCAATTCTTTAATAATCCAGTCCTTCAATCAAGGTTATACTATAGATATTTCCACACATCAGGAATTTCCCCATCTATCCGTCAAAGTTCCCCAATGTTCCCTCTAATCTCTCTAGAAGCTCGTGTAACTATCTCCCACAACAGATACGAGCCATCCTACAGGATGCAGCCGAGCAGTTGTTTGCGACGGGAGACGATAGAGGGCGTTATCAAGCAGACAGTAACTCGTTACATAGAGACCGGCCAGCAGAGCTACGACCCACGGCTATGCTCAGTCGCCTGCCTCACGATGAGTCAGCACGTGAGACATTGAGGCAGCACGTGAGACATTGAGGCAGCACGTGAGACATAGAGACAGCACGTGAGACATTGAGGCAGCACGTGAGACATTGAGGCAGCGTGTGAGACATTGAGACAGCACGTAAGACATTGAGGCAGCGCGTGAGACATTGAGGCAGCGTGTGAGACATTGAGACAGCACGTAAGCCATTGAGGCAGCGCGTAAGCCATTGAGGCAGCGCGTGAGACATTGAGGCAGTGCGTGAGACAGCCACAGTAACAGCACAGCAACAGTGTCACCAGCACGCGCCGGACTCACCTTGGGCCCCATCGGGCGGAACGATGGAGTCGTAGAGGCAGGTGAGGGTGTCGGCGAGCGGCGTTCGGGTCATCACGATGCTGCCATCCGATGGCGAGGCGAAGGTCGGCGAGGGTCGCGCGCACCACGGCGAGCCACGTGCTGCATGCGCTCTATCTTTCCTGCCGCAGGAAGACGTCAGGGACGACAGTGCCCCCTGGCTTGCGAATCCTCGCCTTCCACCTGGCGAGCGAGCGAGACAGGCATGCGAATCGGCGCCGGTTACCGTCGGCCATGTTCGTGGTGTTCACGAATGGAGCGCGAAAAACTTTCTTCGTTTGGAGGGAAACGTTACGCGGCCTATTTAATGAGTCTAAAGTTATCAGCGAGCAGACTCGAAAACGGGTTTTATCCTGAAAAGTTAACAATTGAAAGTAGATTATCAAGATGATTTGGAGAGGAATGTTGAGGGATATGTGGAGATGGCACAGATCTGAGGGTATAGAGCAGCGTTGCTTTTATTTCAGTGTCATTCACCCTCGAGTCTTTATCACAGTTTCATTCACTCGCGACTAAACTTCCTTGTTTTTAGTAAGTTTCATTCACCCTAAAATAATTTCATTCACTCTTAGGTGAACCATTCACCAGTTTAAGGAAGCACTGGTATAGCAGTGTAGAGATAAGAGGGGTATATAGGCAGGGTATAGAGAGTAACCTCATGCGAGACGTAATCTGGCAGGCAGGCCTTGTCGAACATGTCCTGAGCGATTCTGTAGGACGACGACTCCGCGTCTCGCCGACTGCTGTCCGGCTCCACATCTGTTCGGCTGAATGCTCAGTTATTCGTTGTCAGTGTTGCGGCCCGTCGCGTGCTTCGCCACACTGCTCTGATACCTAGGTAAGAAAACGGGTTGTTGTCTGTGTATAGCGCAGCAGTACCTAAGGTGACACGCCTCCCACGTCTCCCGCTCTCCATGTGAGCTCAACGATACACATTACGTTCCACTTCCACCCTGACTACATACAGCTGTACATACATACTACGTGAATTCTGTGTTACGTTAGCTCGAGGTACGTACGTGACGTCAGCGTTGGCATGCAGTCCGAACACCTCGGGAGAATCGGCTGACGGCAGTCCGCCGATGTAGTCTGCATACTGCGCCACGGTGGCGAGGCGCGGGACGCCGTAGTCGCCGTGGAAACGGAACTCGGGCGAGAAGATGGCGTCGCGGAACCAGGCGGCGGCGAAGGCGGAGAGCAGACGCTTGTCGCGGTCGTCGGCTGACAGCGGCCGCGCGTAAGTATGACCTCGCTGATCATGTAGCGCAGGCCGTCGTCCACGACACACCTACGCGTGAGACATTGAGCCAGTGGCGTAGACATTGATAGGCAGCACGTCGGACATTGAGGCAGGTTGTGAGAACATGAGGCAGCGGAGTGGGAGACATGAAGCAGCACGTGCAGACATTGAGGCAGGTAGTGGGAGACATTGAGGCAGCCGCGTGAGACGTCAATGAAGGCCAGCATGTGAGACATTGAGGCAGTACGTGAGGACATTGACAGGCAGCGGTGTTGTGAAGACATTGTCAGGGCAGCTGCGTGAGCACATTGGGCGCACGTGCAGACATTTGAGGCAGCGTGTGAAGACATTGAGGCAGCGCGTGAGACATTGGAGCAGCGCGTGAGACAGTTGAGGCAGCGCGTGAGACATGAGGCAGCGTGTTGAGACATCTGAGGCAGCGGTGAGACAATTGAGGCAGATTGGGAGACATTGAGGCAGTACCGTGGGACATTGAGCGCGAGCGTGTGAGACATTGAAGGCCAGCAGCGTGAGACATTGAGGCAGCACGTTTGAGACCATTGAGGCAGCGATGGAGACTTGAGGCAGCCGCGTGGGACTTAGAGCGCAGCGTGTGAGACATTGAAGGACGCGCGTGAGACATCGCAAGCAGCACGTGCAGACATTGAGGCAGCGCGTTGAACATTTGAGGCAGCGCAGATGACGTCATCACTTCTACTCAGCAAGGCTTGATGATGTCATCACTTCTACTCAGCAAGGATCAGACGCCAACAGGTATACGGAAAGCCCGGCTGCTCTACGGGTGTAAGGCTAGAACGGCGGCGGGTGGGAGGAGCTTTCTCACGTGGTTGGAATAATTACAAAGATTACTGTAAACACAGACGATCTGGTCAGATGAGATTCTGATCGGCGCATTTGGAATAAAAAGCTTACGATGACTCGTCATGGCTCACTCATGTGAAGAAGCTGTGAAGCAGGGCTACATTGTTCAGGGCAAAGCAAGTGTTGCCTCGAGTTTAATAAAAGATTTAAGACGCATGCCGGAGAGGAACCAAGGTAAATAAACGAGGTGTAGCACATCAATTTCCTTCTCAACAATGCCTTTTATGTGGGAGAGGGACGGATACTTACGCAACGTTGACGAGGATACATGAAACCACGTATGTGGAACAACATAGTCACAGACACAGCAACAGCGCCATAGCAACAGCACAGCAACAGCATAGCAACAGTGTCACAGCAACAGCGTCATAGCAACATCACACACACACACACGCCCTACCCTTGATGAGGGTGAGTAGATCCTGCTGGCTGATCTTGCCCGCGCGCAGGTCTACGGTGAGGGCGAGCAGCAGCGTGAAGAGAAGCCGATGGCGCTCGTAGAATCCGCGCACGACGCGGCGGAACACGTGCCGCGTCACCGACGCCACGATGGCCGCCACGCGTCGACTCGTCACCGCGCTCGGCTCCGCCCTGCAACACAACAATGCGCCGCTGTCATACGCCGTTTCCTCACGCGCCTGTTGCCACGAGGTACGTCACTGATACCAAGATGGCGGCCACGTGTTGACTCCGCCCTGCAACACAACCATGCGCCGCTTACGCATGCGCCTGTTGCCACGTTCGTACGTCACCGACGCCATGATGACGGCCACGTGTCGGCTCCGCCCTGCACACAACAACGCGCCGCTTAGTTACGCAACTGTGTACAACGGCGTACAAAACGTGTGCCCCCACTCAAGGAGAAAGTCATACGATATCTACATCTGTGATATAGATTGTGTGATACAACAACGCAGCTGTCGAGGCGAGGCTGGATGTGTGTTGTGAAATCCTCTCGACACTTGCCGCACCTCACCATCGTAAACCTTGCCTCTAAACCTCGAGACTATATCCGATCCATAGACTTGTGCCTAAATTCGGCCTTGATATACGCCCACGCAAGCACTCGCCGCTTGCTACGTCGCGCGCGATTGCGTCGCCGACCCCCGACGCCACCAACCTCGCGATGGCCTCGTCGAACAGCCCGAGGAACTCCCTCAGCGCCACCTGGTACATGACGTTGACGGCGGCCATGTCGACGATGAGGAAGTAGACGAGGGCGCCACGCGTCGCGACGGGGCGGTACTCCTCGCGCGCGGCCGTTATCTTCGCCTCCGTCTCGGCCGCCGTCGCCAGCTTCTGCTTCACGGCGAGCGCGGTCGTCTTCGTGGTCGCGAGCACGTCGACGAGGCCTTCGTCGTCCACCAGGTGGCCCTGCAAGCACGGAGGAGAGACGCGAGCGACTGAAGCAGCGAGGATTTCAATAAAAATACAGCAGTCTATGTTAAAGTAAACTGATTGAAATTTTCATAGCCAGATGAAAATGGCATCATTTTTATCGACACATTTAATGCTGTCCTGGGCCAACTAGTTACCATTTGAGAGACTGCAGTACTTAAGGCTAAATATAGACGCAATCTAAAGCATTCTGTCATTGAAAATGGAAATAGCTACATGCATATAAGGAAATTAATGTAACTTATATTTAAAATTAGTTTACATGATAATTTTATATATGACTTTATATCTTGTCATCATACTACAATATCATACTATATTCATAATATTAGCCACTTATTATTACTACCGTTCACTTGCCGTTGTATTAGTGAGTCTGAACAGCAGACTGTCTTCAAGTTCCTGTATCTTGCGCTTGTTGGCTGCCACGTCTTCAATCAGCTTAACTCTCTCACTTTCTAGCTCCTGCACATCATCAAAACTCAACATAAATCATCATCACAACATCATCAAGGCAAATATTGGCACTACTCTTGCGTTATTGTTTGTAATTTATAAAGTGTACCAAATAAAAGCAAAATAATTGTGAAGACATTGTGTCAATAAGCACTTTTATTAGCATATCACAGAGTTTAGAAATCTATATGCCTTCCTCCCACTACTTTAAATAACAACAGCAATTCTGCTGTTGCTGATGATAAATATAGGTCTATTCTTACGTAATAGTAAGAAGAAGAAGAACAATGAGGAGGCACAATAGGAGAGGAAGAGAAAGAAAAGAAGAAGAAAAAAGAACAGGAGGAGAAGAAGAAGAAGAAGAAGAAGAAGAAGAAGAAGAAGAAGATAAAGAAGAAGAAGAAGAAGAAGAAGAAGAAGAAGAAGAAAAAGAAGAAGAAGAAGAAGAAGAAATAACTATAACGTTGTTGCGTAAAAATCCGATCAATTCCAACTCACACTTTTCTCGGTCAGTATGACCAGGTTGAGCAGTTGGTTTCCTAGACCCTCTGTGGACACGGTGAAGTCGACGACAGCAGTCTTGGCACTCACCTCAGGTGAGAAGGCGGGGTTGCCCAGCTTAGTAGTAAGGAAGAGTGAGAAGCCAGTCATGACGTCAACCTCCTTGTCACCCACCTTCACCTAGAATGTCAACAGGAGCCAGACAATGTCAACCACTTTGCCAACCACCTTCACCTAGAATGTCAACAGGAGCAAGACGGTGTCAACCACTTTGCCAACCACCTTCACCTAGAATGTCAACAGGAGCAAGACGGTGTCAACCACTTTGCCAACCACCTTCACCTAGAATGTCAAAAACAACATGATGTCAACTTTCTTGTCAACTACCTTTACCTAGAATGTCAGTAACAGAGACATGTCACCTACTTCCTTATCACCAACCATCACCTATACCACGCTATCAACACCAGAAACAACACAATTACCTGTGTCAACAACATCAACATGGCACCATGCAGCAACCTCTCAGTCTCTTGTTTAGCAGTAACAAGAGCAAGAACAACAACAAGAACAACACTGACATCAACAACAACAGCAGCAGCAGCAACAACAACAACAACAACAACAACAACAACAACAACAACAACAACAGTATGTAGTACACATTCCTTCTGCACATAAGAACGCCACTGACTATTGAACACACCTACACAGCCTACACACCTTGTACGTAGACCCAGACTTGATAAAGTTCTTGACGAGAATATTGTCCAACACTGGGTCGAGCTCCTCTCCCACATCTTCGATGAGAAGTGGTTTACCGAGAGACAGGCAATCCTCCAGGTGCTGCCTGAAGTACTTGTGATTCAGATGACTGACCTGCCGATAGGCCAGGGCCGGATTTAGACATGGTGAAGGCCTAAGCTATGGGAAGCTGTAGAGGCCCTATTTGGCAATTGTTAACACAGAAATGGCACAGCCTCCGTCCCTCTCCCCCATTCATCGTTCTGCCCCCATATTCGTATTTTCTTTGTATCTCGCTCTCTTTACAGCTCTCTTCTGCTTCTCTTTTACAATAGAGTCAATTTTCATGTATAGCACCTGTAGGCTGGACTGTGCCTCTCTGTTTTTTAGCCAGGCCTTGCCCTGTCCCTGTGGGTCAATGAGTAAGGGGTAACGAGAGGCCTTAGTAGAGATGATGCCATTCTGTATGGACAGCTCATCACTTGGCAGACCTTGAGTGTTCCACTCTGCAACCTGCAATACAACACACGTTTATATGACGTTTTAATATGTTAAGTACACGTTTGTTATTCGAATATTTTTCTCTTGTGGCTATGTATCGCATATGGAGTTTTGCACGCACCGGTGTTTTGCACGCAACTCTTCACCGGTGTTCATTATCTTGTGTTTTCAGCTAACAAAGTAATTAAATCTTTCTTAAAAGATGCACCAAGAAAAAATCCCGCAAACAGCTGCCGGGGAAAAAATGGGCAACGAAAAATATGGGAGACGAGCCACAACTCTGGTGCTGTACGTTGCTATGTGTTTGTTACTTACTGTGCTGCTGCTGACCAACATGGCGGTGACCTGCAGGTCGTGTGTGAACGGGATGTCCAGTGTCTCCAGTTCTGTCTGCCAACAACCCAGCAGCTGACTGCGAAAACTCTGGTTGAATGGCCCGCAGTAACACAGGAATGCCGTGGCCACCAGTGAATCCCCAACCAATCTGTAATTGTCCGGAAATGGCGTATATAAGCAGGCCGTGATGAAAGAGCTATGGGTATAGCCGGGAAAGCTCAATCTACCTTTCGTTGTCTAGATAATCAATGGTCACACTACGGACAAGAATCCTCGATGCAAAAATACGGGTTAACATAATCTTTAGGGCAAGGAGGTTCAAGCCAGGTATTGCCAATCAACCTGAGCTAGTCTAGTAACAACCTAAAGTCCCTAATAAATATACAATGGCCAAACTGATAGGAAATTACATGCAATAATGATGCATTAATTACGTGCAAAAATCTGACATCAAGTGTTAAATACCTGTCGATCTGTTGTAGAAAAAGCTTCTCCTGTTCTGTCCATCTCTGTCGTTCATCTACCAATCCCTCGATCAGAGCAGATGCTGTGGCCATTTTTCTTCTGCATGTATTAGCATCATCCACTAGTGTCTGTTGTCAAATATAAAAATTATATCAAATATATTTATTTGGACAATGATAATATTCACGATAATGATAACAATTAATTACGAATAAACAATAATAATACAAATAATAAAATGTAATGTAGCATGTGCAATATTTTACAATATATGTATATGATAACATAGTTGCATAACAATTGTGATGGATAGAAATAGGGATAAATGGTGAAAGTAAATAAATGGTATAAAAGTAGTCAGGGTAATAAAGGGTAGCACAAATAATGGAACAGGTAGCTAAACATTTTTGAAATATTTATGAATGGTCTTATTATCTTATAATACAATCTTCCTTCTTATATACGAATAGCTTCTGTTTCTTTAGCGACGTTCGGAAGGTTATATAGTTCCCATGCTATGAGTGTTTCTGTATCCACCTTCCACACCTGGTCAGCAGGAGTAAACTATATTATACACACAACCCACCTGTTTCCTGCAGACCGCTGACTCGTACATGGCCTGGGCAGCATCTAACTCGCTCTGTTTCTCCTGCAGCCGGCTTTCCGCCTCTGCTAAATCCTGCAGGGCTGTTTGTAGCCTCACCTCTTGTTCGGCGAGGTTTGCCTGCACAGCCAAATACCGTGTTGGATCAGCTCTTCACGTAACCAGTTAGTGGGTAAAAATTAATCTGCGCCGAAAGCACGCTACAATCATCAGCAAGACAAAGTGGTCATATGTACCTGCATTTAATTAGCAAGCAATTCACTTCCCGTGAATGGCAGTGACTAAGGCAGCGTGCAAAATTAACATTTCCTTTAGCATGGACAATAACCTCACACAAATGTGATTAATAGTGCGGATTTTGCGAATAGCTGTTTACCTTCAGTGGCAGCACCTCCTTGTTGATAGCGTGGAAGAAGGCCATGGCACAGGTCCACGAACATAGACCGGCGATGTCTCCACACACACGCTGGGCATTCTCCATGTTGTAGTCAGGAGCAAGCTGATAGGGCAGCAGCAGTTCGACAGTCTCATCATTGATGCTATCCTTGCTGAAGTTCTGAAGGGCTTGCAGGAAGCCAGACTGCGACATAAGCTGTAACACAGAAATCAGAAGGGAATATATAGGCCATTCTTATTTGCATAAGAGTGTAGAGGGAGGAAAGGTAGAGGGTGTGAGCATATAAGAACTCTCTGGGTTGAGAATTCTTGATTCCAATATTTGATATCTCGATCGTTTATATGTTGATTGCTCAGAAGTTGCAAGTCAATTGGTCCTAATATGTACAAGTCACGGTTTGTAGCCAGGTCAGATTAGTTAATATTCATATTAAAGGAAAACTGAAATAATGTCAAATATAAAATGTAATTGAACCATTGTTCACAGGTTGCGGTAATATGGACTCGTAGATCTACTATGTGTGTATTTGTGAGAGTGCACATACGTTTCAACCTATGAGAGTTTCCTGTAGTATGCTAAGTATATTAAGCAGGTATGTGTGTTACCTTTAGAGACTCGCTCCAAGATGGCTTTAGGGAGTTGAGGCTGGAGTCAATAGTGACAGGATTCAGTTTGCGTTGGAACAGTAGCAGTACACAGTCCATAATCCGCATTATAAGCTGTGGCGGCTTAGCCAGCTTACGCACTGCAACACCGAACAGGAAATGCGTGTGCAACACATCTGTATTAAACTTAAACAAACTTAAACAAACTTAATTGATTAAAACAATTAATTAAATTAATTAAATTAATTAATTAAATTATTTAATAAAATTAATTAATTAAAACAAAATTAAACAAACTTAAAACACAAATATGTACCATAAAATAGCAAATGTGTCATATACTGCGTAGCTACAAGTTCTATACTAGGAAGGACCAGTGTTATACTTGAAGCTCTATGTGATTTGCAGGCAGCTACGTAAGACATACCAGTAGCTGTGCGTGATATTGCAGTGGCTATGCGTGACATTGCAGTATTTATGCATAACATTGCAGTCGGCAGTAGCCATGCGTGAAATTGCAGTAGTTATATACGTGTGGTGTCGTGTGCGTGCGTGCGTGCATGCGTGGGTGTGCGCGTACATGCGTGCATGCATGCGTACATGCGTACATGCGTGCATGACATTGCAGGAGCTACGTGTAGCACATCCGTGCCTCTACCTACACACCTGTAGCTATGTGTGCAGGTTTGATGGTGTTGAGGGCAGCCTCCGCCTCCTCCAGGGCAGGTTTGGCTGCTGCCAGCTTGGCCTCTGCCACGAGCTTGTCTTTCTGTATGCTCTCCACGATAGCCTGTGCTCTGTCCTTCACCACCTGCACCTGTGACTTGACCTTCTCCGCTTCCTGAGCGGTCACCGCCACCTCCTTCAACACCTGCCGCATAGATTCTTCCTATTACTGTGCAGTTCTTGCTATAGCTAATGGGAATATACATTCGTTCCTCCATGTATGGATGCATGTCTTCTCTACATCACTGCCTTAACTGACTTAGCTAAACAACAGCTACACAGTTTGTGAAAATTCATTCGTGAAGATCATTCGTCCTATGCCAATCTGTTCATTTTTAAGCAACTATAAGTGTCATCGTGCAACATTCCTAACCGGACACGAACTACTTGAATCCAGAAATATTAGAATACCAGAATTCATCTATACAGCATGTACACATGTACTAACAACCGGCAGTTACACTGGTTGGCAATGCTCCACGGGTTCTGTATCTCTTCTGTGTCGCTCAAGTATTACATACGAACGGCTTGTATTACACTGCAACACAACTTTATTCTGCTTTCTACTCGAGGGAGATGATATACAACCCAACACCACGGGGTTACAGAGAGCGAACTCGTGCTTGTGCTCAACCGTCAACTATATAACAAAGTAGGTGGCAGCACAATACTGAATCACTTGCATATTGTTACAGGTTCGCTTGCCTTATCAGCGTTGGCAGATGCCAGCTTCAGCTCCGCTTCCTTGTCCACTAGTTCCACGCTCAGCTGGGCCACGCACTCCGACGCGTCACCTAGCTTGTGCAGCCCCACGCTTAGTCTCCCAGCCTGTGATTTGATCTCCTCATGCTTGGCGGCGTACATCGTCTTGTATCCGGCGACGAACGCCAGGTAGGATGCAGGCGTAACGTGCGTGAGCCTCCGGAACCTGTAGAGCACAGAAGAACAGGGAAAGTTGCAGCTGAGTAGATATGCTACGTGACGGTGTGCCGCCTGCGTGGCGTAGCGAGAAAACGAGGCAAATATATTACAGTGAGGATGTGTAAGAATCCCAGAGACGACACCTGGTTCATCAGTACCTCTGAAAGTAGTCGGTGCAGCTCTGCTCGACGCTCAGTTGTATGTCGGCCATGACGCCTACGACGCTCTGTTTCGTCTCGGCACTGCACGCCACGTCGAACGATCGCAACATGTGCTCGGCGACGACACGCAGCGCCTCCCGTGGCCAGCGCCGGAACCACACCATCGTCGCTCCCGAGACGAGCGCGGGGAAGCGTAGCGCCCTCGTGCGAAACTTCTCTCCCACCTAGTGTGTGTGCACAGTGGTAACGTTAGCGACGCAGGAAGATGGGCACGAAACAGGTGCATGTGAAGACATGATAGAGAAATTTAAAAGCTGCTGCATAAAAATTAAAAGTATGCGTGCATGCGCGATTTTAGAAACGAGACTTGCGTGGCATGAACACTTTGGTCAGGAGATATTCCCTGCTCTCGTAGGAAAACCCCGAGCCTTTGAATTTTCCAAAGAAAGTATTGTAGACTTCCACAAACTGCCATTCCTACTTGATGGTTTACATGGCATTGAACAACTCATATGATCAAGCTATACAAACAATTTATATATAATATATATATATATATATATATATATATATATATATATAGAGAGAGAGAGAGAGAGAGAG